TGACCGTGAAAAGACATGACCACTTGTCCGAAGTGGCTATGCATTACATCGACACAGGCCACACCTTTGCGTGGGATATAACACACATCGTCGGAGTTTGCCCCTCCAAAAATGGCCGGGAATTCCTCGAAGCCATGCACTCCCACGATTCATGCATCAACCGGCACGTAAAGTTGGAAGGTATTTAAAAGCACGTCAAAGAACGATGGAAAAGGCAGAGGCCGCACGACAGAGACTAACTGTGGCCACACCTACCGATTACGTCTCACTCCATATAACTATTGATTTTTTCAGCAGTTTTTAAATTTTAGTTGTTCATTGCACTTTTCCTGTCAGTCCAAAGACGTATTGGGGCGCCAAACTCGAAAATTCACTCATTAAAGGAACCTTTTACCCTAAAGAAGATCTTCAAATAAAAATTTCTTGGGATGCATGCGTTCCAGTTTATACGAATGAATTTTCATGCGTTCAGCTTTTCTAAGAATATTGATATTTCAGGACAGTTTATATTAATGTGCAGAACATAGTTAACCTTCTTTTCACTCCTTCTTTCTTTAACTGTTGCAGGGCTTTGGGTGCATATTTTGCGTAATAGAGATTCCCTATGACGTTTATGAGATTCTTTAAGTAAGTAAATGTACTATGAACATTGTTCAAAATATATCGTCCAATGAAACACAATACTAAGCCGCTATTATAAACAATACTTTTATATGCGACCGGGTAGTGTCTCTGCAAGTTACAACTTAGTTAGGTAAGTGAAGCATTTATTTTCAGGAATAAATTTGACGCCAGAGGCCGCGGAATTGTATGCGACTCCAATAAACTTTGCGCATTTCGTCGCCTTTGCATTATTCAGATGAGTTGTGGACAACGTTAATAATAATTTTTGCAGGGCCTTTCCTACACGGCTAACCAAATGTGTTCTCAAGATTCAGCTTAACAGAGGATCACCTTGAAAGGGACCATTAATGCTGATATTCATGCAAAACAAATTCACGAAAATTCAATCAACAGGAGGCACCGATTAAGTTCCCATTCAATGGTTCAACAAGCCCCCATTATGAAATTTTAGATTAATTTAGACATAGTAACATACTGCTCTATCTAACTAAAGAACTTTGGCGGCAAGCATTGGCGATTCGCGAAGCGGCGCTCATAAGAAACGTAGTACAGCCCTTAAATCTTTAGTGTGGTCCGACACAAGTTATTCGTTACGAAGTCCAGTTAAATTTTACAAGAGTGCATAAGACAACTGAATCGACTTATCCAATTTACCTGTCAAGTTAGATTTGGCCGGAATCTTCTGCACACTGACAGGTTAAAATTGAATAAGCTGCTTCAGGCAAGTTACACAGTAAGGAGAAAATAAAAAGGCCTCGTTTTGGGTGCTGAAAGCGAAATCTCGTGAACGATCGCCATCGCCAGTTACGAATTTCGAATCCCTCTATCTGGTCGTGATTTCTGGTTGCTTGTTGAAAATCCCTCATAGCGACGCGACGTTTTCCAGTGCTGTCCATTTCTCACTTCGTACGTTAAACCAGGTTCTTTTTCACTTTTCACAAGCGCCCTACAAGATTGACCTCGTCCGCGTAGATGAACACGCTTTTGCGAGTAATGATGGTTTACTATAAGCTCTACCTAATATACCTCTGAACAACTCCCTGCGTATACCCAAAAAAAATTAATTGATTTAAACCCCTTGAAAATGAGTACGTTTTACACACGTATGACATAGAATTCCACAAGCAATTGGGCTAATATGAAAGTCACTCCATTTTGTTAATATGCGCGGCACAGTTTTAAAAAAACATTGTAAATTCCGCTACCACTATGGTTCCTTCGATAAACAGCCGGGTTCATAAGACGCAGGAAAGACGCCAATTTCTCCAAACCTTGCAGTCTACATCAGAAAGCATAAAAGAAGACAACATAGATGATAGTTCAGAGCGTATGTAAGCATGCGGCAAGGCCAGACCTCAAAGGCTAATTTCGTGCTAGAACAAATCCGACTTCTAGTCACAGGGAATCCAACCAAGAAAGAATGCTCAAGTATTCTTAGCCGCGCACGCTTACACATGCATTATCGAAACCTGTTTTACGTGTTAAACGATAGGTAACGACAATACATCATTAACGGCCATTCCAGATTCCCTTACTGTTGATAGCGGCTGTTATTGATTCCAGATAACTATTTACCGAACGTAATTTACTACTAGTCGTTTTAACCCGAGTTATCCTTCACGAGCCTGACGGCGAAGACACCGAAACCCGCACCCAAAATTTTTCTAGCCAAATAACGGACATTCAATTGGATTCCGAAAATAAAGGACACGCAAGAGGACATGTAGTCCCTAGGGAACATGTAAGAAGCAGCATGACCGTTTGGGTTCGGCAGCGCACTCTGTGGGGATGAGTTCCGCGCATAGGAACCAAACAGGCCGTTCGGTAGAAGGAAGGGACGGGAACGTTGGCGTGGTGGTGGGGGGAGAAGGAGGCAAAACTCATCGGATTCGGAAACTAAATCACCGTTTCTTACATTTGAAGAAGTGACGAAAAATTAAAACTAAAAATGTAAACTCTAGCGACCGTTGTTACAACTTATCTGATTATGTGAAAATGCGCTGAGAAGTGCGCTGTGAGAAGTGGAAGATTTAGCTCGCTTAAAAATGTTAGTAATTATATATATGCATGGATAAATTAAAAATAAGTACGGATGCAGTGGTCAAATGGGACGATGAAAGTGGATGACAAACGTGATTACAACTGCGAAACAGATATGCAGTGTGTATGATTTACTGTGTGTGTGCGACCACTGGCAGAAAAGTCACAAAGATAAAACGACATCTCGGGAAAGACTGTGTGTTTGCGGCAGAGAAAGAGCATGTCCGCCTGCACGACGGAGAAGGGCACCTAGTTCAGGAAGAACCCGCTCTCCTTGGTAGCGGCTAGAAGGTACTGACACAGTTCGGCCTGCGAATTGTACTCGGGCAGCTTCAAGTAGTGGGCGCAAGTGTTAACGCTGGGGAAGGGACCCTGTTGGGCGTCCTTGCGTACCACGCGGAGCCGGGGACTGAGGTTCCGCAGGCCGCCGGGAGGCAGGCTTGAACAGCCAGTCACGAAGCGCAGGAAAGCGCGTCGTTGCTCCAGATTGAAGTCCACCAGGACAGAAATAAAGAACTGGAATGTGGCGGAGTTCTGGGTGAAGCCGAAGCTGGGCACGGTGTAGGCCAGCAGCTCTTCGCGTGTCCAGTTGAGGTCTGAATCACCGCAAATTAACTGACCCAATTCGTGTGGACTAAAGAGGGCGAGCCAGTCCATTCGGAAAACGCGTTCGAATCCGTCTAGGGAGAAGTAAACGGGATATCAAATAAAAGAACAGGAGATAAATACAATCAGAGTGCTGGGTGCGCTGTTTACATAGTCACAGTTATACAAAGTAACTCACCTCTGAAAGCATCCATCTGGGCACGAATGCCTTTATCCAGGCAGTATTCTAGTGTGCGGCGAATATAAGTCTCCACATTGTAGACGGTCACAGACTCGACCTGATTTTCCGCATCGCCCAGGGCCACTGTAACGCCTTCATTTTGCTCCCAGGAATAATGGTCCAATAGAGGTACTTCTTCAGCGGAATACTAGAAGAAGAGTGAAAGTGGCAAAACCTTATGTTGGCAGGTCTGACACCAGCTGTGTTGAATAAGGCCTCATTCAAAATCTTATGTGCTGACAACTTAAGAGGAACGATACTAATACAAGATGCTGACATCCGATAACTGCAACTAGTTTTTGGTTCTTAAAAGGAGAACC